ATATACATATGGGATAATCATGACCGCCTTTCCCAGCGCGTCCAGCGGGCTGCGTAACAATAAGTCGTGCTGCAAAATGCAGTGCAGTGAACTTCGCTGTTCGTCGTCCGTTTACCATAATCCCTAGTTCATCATGTATCATCACTATGATGTTAGTTAAAATGAAACTTTTAAAAATACCTCAGTTGCAGTACGATTGGAGTTTGGATCTCTTTCAATAGAATATCGTGAATAAATAGACTTCCTTAAAAAATGTCGCAGGAGTTTTCACTTTATTCGCTTTAGCGGTGTTTTTCTTTTTCATTCATAGTCACAATCCACACAACCTACCGAGGATTATTCGGAAGTTCTCAAGAAAAGTGAACTGGACAAACCGGTGGAGGTCAGCTCACTTTCTTATCTGTACTGGTGAATTTTTCCTTATAACAGTATGCCGGGTTTACGGTTTGTGCTTTATTTGTTGAAGAAATCTTTGTCCGGAATATTCAAAAATGTTTGTATCAGCATACTGTGGTGTTAAAATTTATCTTTCCTTTTTTTCAAAATGTATTGAGTGTAGCTTTACTTTTATTCCCTTGGTGGTAGACGGGTTTGCTGTCGTCTCGTTCAATATCATAGCTGATCTAGCGGGGCCTTATGTGGTTCGTCACTCCAAGTTAGGTTACCGGTTTCCACCAAATCTACTGTTTATCACACTAAGGTGTAAAATAAAAAAGGTAACCCTCAGATGTATAATTCGTGATCATAACTTATTGGTACGTCGTGTTTCATACTCGGTGTCCACAGAGATATCTGTACTGCCTTCCAATCAGAAGCACTTTGGCTGAATCGTTAGTTTTAGCTTTCCTACCTTGGAGTGTTTTTGCTTTCTTTTTGTGTTTATTGATTACGGAGATGTAAAAGAAACTTTCAGAAAGGGGGCTGCGGCTATACAAAAGCTGCCTGGATAATCAGAGGTGTTCACTTGGTGTACCTATGTAACGATGAGTTTTTTCTCTGTTATTATACATTCATCTTCTTTACTGTGCGACCATGCGTTGTTTCCAGTTCAATTCACATTGCAACCCTCTTGCCCCGACGATGTCAGAATCGATCATCGCTTTAACTCTTGCCTAACCCATCTCACGATTTCAAGAACGTGAATCATTAGACGAACGAACTAGATATGCGGTGCATTTGAAAATACTGCGACTAGTTTGGATGAAATGCTGTTTACTCGAAACAAATCAAAATTTTATGGAAGTACAAGATATGTCAATGTATCAAGGTTTGGACAGAGGTGACTGGGGACGTTAGACAACTTGGAAAAGCAAAATGGTCTTCCTGGGTGCTGCGAAATCACCGATTTTCTACGGCTGAGAGCGGTTTACCGACCAATTTGTTCCCCAAATATTGGCTTTTTGTCCCCTCATTTTTGTGGGAAACCCCCTCTTGAAGGTCTGTGAGTACAGCCTCTCGGAGGAGGCTGTTTGAGACGCTTGTTCGTGCACAAACATTTTGTGAGGTGCAGTGAAGAGTGACGAATCACAGACTAAGACACCCGTCAGGACGCGAATTCTGTGATGGCATCTATAACAGTAAGCAACGCAGATTCTTCTTAAGCACTGACTAGTTATGTCATCTAGGAATCCAGCAAGTGTTTCAAAAGAGATCTTTGGACTATCGGAATGCCCCACACCTGCGGCTCGTGTATTGTCCTTTTTATTTACCGGCTACTCATAAGTAGTATACTTCTGGTCATGACAATCATCCAGTATGCCCACCCCGTATTGGCTTGTCTGTTACGATCGCTTCGAACAGTTAGACTGTTCTTATTCAAATGAGATTAAGAGATGAGCTTGTGGGATCTGAGGGCTTCGACTGATGAGTGTGCAACAGTTCATACCAACCATTTGTACGCAAGTACAAAAAGTCATCCTCATCGACCGTTTCGAAGCCACACATTGGTTCAGTGATCCATCCACTTGTAAATGGTGATCAATGAAATTCGACCACGTATGCGTGCACTTGAATGCATCGTATCTAATCGAACGGAATAATTTTTCATGCACACAGAACATGATTTGCATGCGGTCATATGATGTGCGTCGCTAAGATAATCAGCTGTTTTGACATCCGTGATAGTCGACGCAAACTATATTGTGTTGAATATTGCTTCTGTTTGGAAGCCTTAAGTATCATTTTCGATCGAAACGTTTAACTCTCCATTTATTTTCCACTTATTACCAGCTTTTGTGTAATATACTTGACCTGATTCTGCAGTGGCGCTTTTCATAGGGTTAGTAATCCAATTCACCAATGCACTTTATCGTCTGTTCGAGCTTGGGAGCATTGTGTTCGGGATATTTTGTGGGTTAGTCCGTACGAGATTTGGATGCAGTGTTTCACATTTCTCGTAGTTGATTGTCAATCATCATTGATGCTGCAGGACATTGAATTTCCTCTCGTTTAGAGCATAATAACCTGAAATTAGGCGGCTGTTGCTATAGGAGGTGTGGTATATTATGTTGAATTGTTATTGTTCGTAGTATTCGCATTAACCCTCCAATACGAAATATTCATTCCGGTTGAATTCGTTCAGAAAAGTCTGTATTCGACAGAAAAGTTCATTGTTTCTAATCCGTCACTCTAATAGTAAGCCACTATGTGGATCATAGTCGCTAAAATGCATCTTTTATTTGTAACTGAACAAGCCAAGGAAACCGTTACATGTGTAATTTTCCTATTTCGACCCATTTTCTCCCTTTGCCCCAAAAAGCCCGTCTCGAAGAAAGCCAAACACGCGAAAGGCATGCAGTCTCTATCCAATTTCTTTGGAAAGCGCTCAAACCGATGATCTCTTACTTCACAGATACAGTTGACCCGTCCCCGTCCTCCCGATTCTCGCTCTTTTGTCAGAGTAAATTTAGATCCCTGTCTGTTATTACCCAATTTGTTAATGTCGTCGCGGTCCATGTCCTCACCCTTTCCCACAGAGTCAATATTTTTATGTGACCATTCAAGCATAAATAAAATCTATTCCGTCTATCGCAATCAGTCGCGTTTTGTCAGAGCGATTCCGAACGAGGACTGAATCCCAGTCCACACTAGACTGGTTAGTTTTTGTGTATATGGGCTTAGAAATGGCACGATGGTTATGTCATAACGTTCAGCACCTGAGGCATATACTGCTGGGTGCGTCTCCAGGTCTCGCACATGTGAAAGACCACTCCGATGGTTTATCGTAAATTGTTGTTGAACATTGCTGCACTGAATAGATTATCATGGATGTGGCATCGCTTGCCCCATTGGCATTTGTACCGATAGCGTTGAGTTGTGATCAGTTGGATTGTTCAAACCTCTACCCAATCCTCTGTTGTTGCTCCCTCGCTGCTTGAGTATTCCTCGTACATTGGTCACATGAGATGGTCTACCGTCCGAACGCTGAGTATCCTTATCTTACTATTTAGCTGGGTTTTGTTTTCAGCACATTCGATTAAATCAGATTGCTTATTAGCAAACCGGATCTGTGGTCTGGTTAGAGCGTCGAATTAAATTGACCGCATCCACAACGAAAGGCCAGAATTTTCTGATAAGTTATTGAACTTTTGTGTTATTTGGTCGATGTGAACAAAGTTGTGTAGGATATCTCCTCCCATCTATTTCTCCGGCTCTGTTGTTATCCACTGACCGGTTGAGCACTAGTCCAACTAACATTTGCATCTCGGTTGCTNAACTTGTCCGTTAACTAACCATTGATTGTGTTCTCACATTTCTTTCTACCTTGCACTTCTAAATCTTCAAGTTAACCGTATAAATTCTCCCTTATGGAGCAGGATGAGGTGCTGCATCTGCACTTACGTCAGTGCTAGATATTTGGCCTTCAAGGAATCAACCATGTCCCAGTCGGAAAAAATCGGTTGTCAACTTAGCGGCTACACTGGCCGGGCAGTCTAGAAAGGGTCGAGGCTTTTAGACATGCATATCTGTCACCGAGGTTTCATCGATTATGTGCATTCTCCCCAGGAACAACACATCTGCGCGAATCTCGTAAATTGATTTAAGCAGAAAAAGATTTGGTCCGCGTTCAAAGATTGTGGTGTATTTTCGATCATTCTAATCTATTCCGGTTTTGTCTTTGAAACTGATCTGTTACATCGCGAACCTATTCTTTGATCGGAATAATCAATACGCGTTTGTGTAGTGCGGTATGGGTTCATTAGGCACTCAGTATGAGCACAGTTTGTGGATGTCAGTTAATAGTTCAAAGTTCTCCGTGTATTCAAAACTGATTATCGATCTGGCGTACACTCACTTCACAAGTAGTTATCAGCGATGCCATAGCCACCTCAGGTTCACTGGAACTGTTCCAAAATTCTAAATGCTGGAGCTGCTCAACTAAAACAGTTCATATTTTCCTCTGTACGCCAATATCTGGTATAGTTTTGGGCAGGAAACGATCAATTCATTTGAACTCATATATGAGTAGATACAGGAGTTTCACTGAGATACTCAGCGTCTAACCATTGGTTAGATTGAGCATAAGGTGCCCATCTAAGAATCCTAACGCCACCCAATCCCCTAATCATGTGATGTCTTATTCCGACCACCTTTGGTTTTCGTCTTACTGTCTGTCTTGACCAGCGTCACTTGCCGAGAGAGTTTATTCGGTCAAATGCGTAACAGGCCCCAACCGCCACAATTAATTGAGGCCGAGTACTTGCTTCGGTCCGCAACTGCTATGAGATTGTTATTCTGATTGTTCCAAGAAACCAGCACAATGTGGCGTACGGAACGGTGTTTCAATATCGATCGTCTATTGTCATTCCCCTCGCTCTGTAGCGATCATTACTTCAGTCCATATAGCATCATGTACTCAACCCTAACGGACAATGTCTCGGCGATACCATTGGTGGCGGAAGATAACAAATACTACTGTGTATTCGTACTGAAACTTTCTCTGAGGTTCGTCCGTGAGGAGAGGTGCAGCTCCTCAAGTCGCAAAATTTGTGTACTTTTTCTTATTACCTCAGCTACACAGGATGGCTTCCCACAGCCGTAGATCCAATCATGCCTGAAAGGTCAACGGGTAGAGGCCAGACAAAGCTCAGTCTCACAAAACCAGCTGCTTGGACACGACCTGGCTTCCTTCTTCTATCCACACCCTCCCCTGGAGAGGCCTCTCCAGCAAATAAACACGATGAGGGGCAGTTTACCGGTCGAAAACCCCCCGCTAGATGGACGTAGAAGCGGGGTACCTGGGGCTTCCTCTCGACGGTGAGAGAAGTCTTCGCACTTCATTGGGCAGCTACCGCCCGCCCAAGCTGGGCAGCCCCCAGCCAATAAGGTGCTGTCCCGTCCACGTTCCGCTTGTCTCATTGGGTGCATGAGGCTGAGGGCTGATCCCGAAAAGCGGACCGATAACGCACCAGCGAGCAACAAACTTAACCGAAATTTAAAGGCCTTGCGTGACAGGCCTCCAGAAGCTCCCACACTGGTGCTTCGTCCTTGCTCCCGCGTTGGATTTACGCCCCACTGCCTTGTGGGTCAGACTCCTAAGTCAAAGGCTCCGGTTAGGGTTCCCAAAGAAAAACATCTCCGTCGGTGTGGGCTACCGCGAGGTAGGTCACGCCCTAAAGTCTTAGGCACCCATTTGGGAAACGATCCTTCTCTTCTGTCTAGTTCTTCTTCTCAATCCCGAATAATTCCAGATGCCTTCTGTTTACGCCACTCATCGAACATCACTCAGCGTTTTACCATCAAGGCCAGAGATTCAGAAGCTATGGGATTTTTAAAGCCAAATCCCCTTATCACTTGGCNGGTAGCCTCTGAGTGGTTGCCCTTATTAGTTGAACTACTCCAATATTGCTCTCAACATTCCAATGTTCACTCTGCTATCTTATCCAAATGGGTGACCAAAAGAAAGCAACCAGAACCGGCGCACGAAAGTGCATGGTTAAAGGTTGGAAAAACTTAACTGAACTACTGCGCAGGTTTTCTGAGACTAAGGGCCGATCCCGAAAAGCGGACCGTCAACCAACGCACCAGCGAACAAAACTCTGAACCGAAACCCGAAGGTCTTGTGTGACCGGTCTCTAGAAGCTCCCACACGGGCGCTCCGTTCACGCTCCCGCTTTGGATTTAGACTCCAGTGCCTTGTGGGTCAAACTCTTGAGTCAAAGGCTCCGGTTAGGGTTCCCAAACAAAAAACCCTTCGTCGGTGTGGGCCACCGCGAAGTATGTAGCGCCCTAAAGTCTTAGGCACCCATTTGGAAAACGACCCTTCCCATCTGTCTAGTTCTTCTTCTCAATCCCGAATAATCCTAGATGCCTCCTGTTTACATCACCCATCGAATATCACTTAGCGTTTTACCATGAAGGCCATAGATTCAGAAGCTATAAGATTTTCAAAGCCAAAATCCCCTTTTCACCTAGCCGCGTTCAATGTCCGCACACTCTATCAGATTGACCAACAAGCTGCCCTGGCTAGAACTCTCGAAACTTTAATTTAGATGTATGTTGTGTCTCCGAAACACGCATGCAAGGCCACACTTCCATTATCCCTCTGTGATCTTCTGATCCAACCTCACGCTTCACTCTTCGTGTGTCAGGCGATTCGGCATCCGAAGCTCGCGGTGTTGCTGGTGTCGGGATTGCGCTAAGTGCCAAGGCTGAGCGCTCGCTTNCCGATTGTGCGCTGTACGTCTCAACGGTTCAGTTGGAGTCAACAGCTACAGAATGAAGCGTCGATGCTTATTTGTCGTATCGGCGTATGCACCGACCGATTGCAGTATACCTGAAATCGAGGATACATTCTGCCAGGATCTTTCTCAACTACTCCAAAGTGCTCAATCAACGGAAGTCGTAGTAGTCTCCGGGGACTTCAGTACTCAAGTAGGATCCCCGGAAGAATCAGAAAGGCTTCTTGGCGGACCACATGCAATTTCAGCCAACCGGACGGACAACGGAGACCGACTGCTTCAACTCTGCTCGGACCACGGATTGTTCCTGTCGAACACGAACTTCTCGTACAAGAAACACCATCGACTTGCATGGAAACCACCAACCTCTTTACTGCACTGGACCCAAACCGACCACATCGCCATCAGTTACCGCTGGAGGGGATCAATTCAAGACTGCCGTTCTTACTGGTCAACAGCTGTGAATACAGACCACGCCTTGTTACGAGCCAAGTTCTCCTTACGCCTGGCAAACAACCGCAAAAAAGCCACCGACAACGGATATCCGCGATACAGTGCCAGCGATTTATACAAATCGGCCTTCGAAGCGGAGCTCTCCGATCGCCTGTCAGTTCAACCACCAGCCGAAGGACTCAATGAACACTGGAAGCAAATCAAGGAAGCTATGCAGATATCGGCAAAAACAATGTCGGACCCTGCCTCACGCTCAAAACACAAACGATGGATTTCGTCGACCTCGGTTGCCCTGCTGGACGCCCGCAAAACCCTTCCTCTGGGTGCCACATACGACACAGCGCGAAAATCCCTTAAACGCCAGCTCATCAAGAGTCTGAGGAATGACCGCGAGAAGTGGTGGGTAGAAAGAGATGGAGAAAGCTGCGGCTATTGGTAATAGTCGTAAACTTTTCCATCTAATTATGAATACGGGTCCTAGGAAAATAGGCGTGAGGTAATTAATGAATGCAATGGCACACTGATTCACGATCAGCAACGCCGTCTTTACCGCTGGGCTGAAGTCTTCAAGGCTCAATTCAACTGGCCCCCATCGACAGCTTATCTTTCACTCTCCGCCTCTACTGGGCAAATACTCCCAGTTGATGCTAGTCCTCCATCTGAAATGGAGGTATCTCGGGAAATAAGTTATCTCAAAAGGCATAAGGCCTCTGGCCCAGATGGGCTGTTCCCATCAGCATTTAAGGATGGAGGCTCAGCGTTAGTCCCAGTCGAGGTTGTATCGACCACATCTTTACTCTTCGTCAAATCCTAGAACAGACACTTTTCGTAGACCCAGCATCTCTGTCTTCCTAGATCTGAAAGCGGCTTTCGACTCAGTCGACCCTTCTAAACTCTGGCGCTGCCTATCCCTGAAAGGTGTGCCTGAGAAGTTTATTTCAATGATACAATCGCTTTATACTAATAGCCGAAGTCGAGTCCGGGCTTACGGCACTTTTTCTTTCGAGTTCACCACGGAAAGTGGTGTTCGTCAGGGTAGCCCTCTCTCTCCATTTCTGTTTAGCTTTTTTATAGATCTGTGGTCAGACACCGAGTGGAAAAAAGCCAAGGTTGTTCATGCTAAGACCTGGCACGAGGGTATGAAATCCTAACCAGGAGACTGGGTCATCACATAGGTAGTGTTAGGCTCCCTGTCTTGGGACCTCAGTATGACCGTAACTGATGGTTAGAGACACTGAGTGATATGGCTAGGTATCGTAAACAGTGGCGTTCTTGCATTTTCTCGATTTCTTTGCACCCTTGGACCACTGAACTTCTCCATTTTATGTTCGACTCCACTTCCAAGTTTCCTTTCTTCTATTCTTCATCCAAATGGGCAGGCAAAAGACAGCAACCAAAACCGGCACACGAATATGCGTGGTTAATAGTTGTTCAAACTGAACTGAACTGAACCTCCGTGTGGATGAAATGGGGCTCTGGATTAACTCAATCTTGTAACGGCTTTTTAAACTGGAAAAGGCAAAGCGCATGCCGAACATAGCGACGCCAAAATCATATGAACGAAAAATTTAATGGGACAGCAACAGATTTTAGCCTGAGACATGGAAACGCTTTTGACGTTCCAGGACAGTTTGTTGTAGTTTGAGTGTTCAAACTCCAACTATGCGTAAGAGGCATGAAATTCTCTGATACGCTTTTCAGCGAGAGAGGTTCAGAGTGTGGTGAATCGGCCCCGTGGTATAATGGATAAGGCGTAAACTGAAAATCTACGACTTGGTTGGGTCTCGTCAGCAGTACGAATTCATCGAGCCAACTGGGGATCGAACCCGGGAGCTCACAGCCAATTATTTCGTTTTATCTATACCTAATATAACAACCCATCTTTGCAAGCTTGTTGCGGACATCAGATCCCGCTCATCTTAGCACCAGCCTCCAGGGTTATGACTCGTTAGAAACACGCCGAACTCGACTTTGTTACATGAGATAAATGAATTTTCCTAACGCTTGACAATAAAGTGCTCATTGTCTGACTTGAGCAGCATTAGCACTTTGTTTATTTTCACAATAAGATCTGCTCGTTTTGCCTCCGGATACGTTTCAGGCGATAAAATAGTATACTCTCATTCTACCAGTCACTTTCCTAGCTCTCATTTGGGTTGTTTTGTCTAGCTTAGTCTCTCCATACCTGGCTCCTCTTTGCAGGATGATAATCATTACATTTCACACACGCTCGGTCGAGTTTTCTCCCCGTGTTCTGGACGCTTCTGCTGTGATGAGGAGAAGGAACGTCTGTCTGGCACTGATATTGGGAACGAAGGAGCATTTTAGAATGCTTGTCATCCGACTATCCGTCCCTAGTTACTGTCATATTGAACAACTTTTCGCTTCTGAGTACAATGCTCACTATCTAAGCACCGTTTGGACAGAAGCAAGTGGATGACTTTGCATTTGTTTATTAAATCACACCAATTCGTAATGAGATCGAAACAGTGGGCATTTACGTCGATTTTGTCTGAACCAAGAGCAAGCCTCGTATTGTCTCAAGTATATGTTTCCTGTGGTTCTCATAAGTGACCCACCCCGCGATTTCCCTGGGATTGGGATGTTAAGCATGTGATCTGAGAATCTCACAGCAAGAACAAATTCGCACACAGCCTGCTGGAATTGGTGCACTGTCCTGGATACTAAGAGTCGAATAGTCATGATGTTCGCACGCTGTGATTATAACACGATGGATATTGCTTGTCCATCGGAATTGTGCGTGCCGAATTCCGGAAGGTGACTGGCCGCATCACGGCAGGTGGAGCGATAACTCTGGCCTTCGTCAGGTAGCTTTCACACTAAGTAAGCGAACTCCGTGCTCCCTAATACCAGTCCATAGATCACCACAGCCGCCGTTAAATCGTCCGATGATATTCGTTTACGTGCCATCGTTGCTGGTAAATGCGTCCACTGCAGATAATTTCTACGAGAAGCTTTAAAGTTTCATCGGTCGAATACCCAAATGCGATATTCTCATCGTCGTGGGAGGCCAGAACGCACGCGCCTGACCATCGAGCGATGGCTCCACGTACCTCTTGAGAATCGCTGAAAATATTGCAAATTATCAGAATGCCCATAAAGATTCCTACCACAGCCACTTGAGCCCGAACCTCTGGCGGGGAGTTGTTGGAGTTTGACAAGGCTATCCGTCGTCAATTGTCCTATTCAGCTACGCCGCAGACTGGTTGATGCACCACGCCAGTCCCAGATATCGCGGTTTGCATATCGATCCGAGTACCTGGATCGCGTACATCGATTATGCTGATGATATTACACCCCTTGGTAAGACACCAGCTGATCTGTTACCGATCGTCAACCGCACTGANGCCCTTTTTGAATCCCCTTGGACTGGAGGTCAGTCTGTCGAAAATTAGAATCTTTTCGATAGGCCTCATCCAATAGACTACTCCGACACTGACTTATTTCTGGAATCCTTCCCAGCATTCCGACATTTGTACTTGATGCTATCACCAAGTGGTCAGTCGAAGGAAGAGAATCTTCTCATTGTTGATAGCGCGAAGAGGGCCTTTCTACACCGCGGATCATAATGGATTGGCAGTGAGATACATCTCTGGACCTGATCAACATTCAACCATCTTTACATGTGTCTGCCAGACCTGGTGACGGAGCAGATTGAGGTCTTCAACCATGTGCATCTTCAATAAATCGCAATAGTGAAAGCATGATCCTGGAGGTCTAATGACGAGGTTCGCGGCGTTGCTTGACCAGTGAGAAATTATGCAATCCCTTGTGACGAGGACTCCTTCATAGTGTCGGTTACATACTGTGTAGACCAATCTCCAATCTGACGAGACGAACCTCCTCTGAATTATATATTTTTATATTTTTACACACGCCTGAGTTCGGAATGTGTGCCAAACAAATCACGGTAAAATTATCTTCATAACGTCTCGCAGTATTTGTCTTCTCTCTGTTCTGAGGATTTGGATCAAGGAGACCCAATATCAGCTTGCTACTCTAAAAATGAAACCCAGTATTTAAAGTTCATAAAAGGAAATAAAAGGTCCATGATTAGCTCACGGGCGCTATGTTGCTAGGTTTCCCAGGCCAAAGCAGGTGAATTTTCTTGGGAAATTCTCAGCGGTTAGTCGCTGCCACCGGCGTGCTTTAGACCCTACGGTCCGAGGTTCGAGCCCCGCCACCCNGGTAGTTCTGCTGTCGTCCGGTTCAATATCACGCCTAACCTATCGGGGCCTTATGTGGTTCATCACTCCAAGTCCCGGGGCTTAGGTTGCCGATTTTAATCACCGAACAGCAGGTCCTCGTGACTATGGGGTGTTCCGTCTGCTGTTCATCACACCTAGGTGTGTAATAAAAAGAAAACCGAAGCCTTTGGCTAACCAAAGCCTGACCCGCAAGGCAGCGGAGTGGTGTGTGAAGACAGCGATCTATTGGGGGCCGGTGTCCAGTTCATCGGAGCATATACCCTTTGGACGAATCAGAGGACGAAAGTGACCAATACACCTCGAT